GGTTGTGTCAGGAAGTAACCTGCAAAGAGCAGTTTGAATTTTGTATGAAGATGAAGGAGGAGATAACTGAGCCTGATAATCAACACAGAATATTCCTTCTGAGGGTGAGAGGTGATCCGTGCGCTTTCTATGACAATCCAGACAGGAAAGGAAGTTGTCCTTGTCACTCTTCTCCCTGCTTCAACTCCCAGTTACCTTCTCATTGTAATGCACCTGTTATAGGCAACCTCTGGGGCAGTGATTCAAAATGGAGAATTATAGATTCTGGGTTTCAATGCCCCTAGGCCAAAGACCTGAGTTGCACCGAGAATGGTCACAGAAGCCTCATATTCCTCTCCCTGTTCGAGCTGCACATTCCCTGGGGGAAAGTCTCCTTTTCCCAAGAACAGATTGATGTCCATGGAGTTGATGCCCACAGAGTAGCTTTCACTGGTCTAGAGACAATTATGTTCTTGAAATACGAAATCTTGGGCCTCCTGATGGCGGAAGACTTTAAGATGCAACCTATGAAGGTATCCGCAGCTACTGCAACAAAAGTTCAATCCCTGACCAGGGAGCTTCCCACATGACACAGCAGATCTCTCCTGACTCACCGCTGCTCCCCTCAGCAGTGTATTTCAGTCAATCTGCCTGTTCTGTTCCCTGCTCCGTCTCTGGTGAATCCTCTCACTCCCCACACCTCTGGATAGTACCCATGTTCTTACATGCATAAATAAAATAATATTAAAAAAATATATAGGAAATCTTGTATTTGCTATGAATTATCACATTATTTGACTGCTCAAAAAGAAATATTTTGAATGTTGTCATCATACTGTGACTGAGAATAACGTTGCAGAATGTTTTCCCAACATGAGTGGAGATGATAGTTTAAGCAATGAAGAAGCAGGAAATTAAGAATATGGCAAAATACCAATTTAACAAAATTACCAAATATTATGCTATCGAAATCATAACAACCTGTTAAATTCCATTATGTTGTTCCTTTTCTTGCAAAATGTGTCTGTGTCATTGTGTGTTTATGAGGCTCACTGACCAATGAGACCAGGCAGGGAGCATCCAAGCAGCTGTCCCTTTACCATAAGGGGCTGTTCCCAGTTCCAGCCCACCCACGTTCCCTGCCCTGTTTCAGGCCGACGCTGAGCCAGTGAAAGGGCTTCACAGCTGGTGTCTCCGGTGGGCTGAGACACTCATGGTCCAGAGCTCTCCACACATTCCTCTTACACACACGCGGAGTCTTTGACTGCTCATGAGGCAAAAGTCAACCATGTTGGCATCTGGTACAGGCCATGAGGGAGGTTTTTGTTCGGGGCTCAATCACTGAGGAGGAACATGTGTAACCTGTCCACAGTAATAGATTCCAACATCCTCAGCCTCCATCCTGCTGATCTTCAGGGTGAAATCTGTGCCTGACCCACTGCCAATGAACCTGTTTGGGACCCCAGGGTCTCTGTTGGAGACCTTACAGATCAGGCGCCTTGGAGATTGGCCTGGCTTCTGCTGCAACCAATTCATATATGTGTTTCCATCACTATGTACGAGGCTCTGACTGGCCCTGCAGGAGAGGGAGACCTGCTCCCCAGGGACGACGGGCAGGGAGAGTGGGGTCTGGGTCAGCACAACCTCCCCACTGGATCCTGAAGAAAGGAGAGAAAAGTGACAAGTAAAGACAAGTATTATCACTCATTTTTATTATTTCAAGTCTGTTATTCATTTAGGCTAAAATACTGCTTTGTTTTACTATCAATATTTGAGGTATATAATTGTACACCAAAACCATGGGCTCACAGTAATAACCTGTGGAAAGAGACCCCGAAACTTTGCCTGCCCTCTCTAGACAGTGTCCCCAGGTTATACATGCTTCACATAGTCACAGATCTCAGCACCACCTTCTCTTAAGGAGAAGACACACACACCTAACAGAGAAGGAATACGCATGGGGGCAGAGGACCCCAGAGCTCAGGTTCCCCACCCTGGGCTCCATTCTCCTCTCCCCTCTGCCTTACCTGGGGTCCAGAGCATCAGCAGCCCCAGGAGCTGAGCAGGGAACCTCATTTTGAGAGGGTGACCTGATGGCCCTGTCGGGTGAGATCAGTCTGCAGCTGATTTTTTATCTCAGCCCTGAAGACACAGGTCCTCCCTAGGGACCCGCATGCAAATGCCCAACTGGGGACAGAGGGCTGGAGAGAACCCAGGGGAGACCAGAGCGTTTCATAGGAAAACAGTGAGTGTCCTGTATTTCATCAGTCTCATGGCAACTGAAAGAAACATTTGTGTATCCCAAAGACAAGAAAGAACAGATTTTGCAAGTTTATTTGTTTTGTGCACAATACAAGCTGTGTATTCCTGCTTCTCTTCAAATAGCATATACTGATGCAATGACTTCTGACCATGCAGATATGTGTCCAGGTCTCTCTCAGGTAAGTGAGTGACCACCTTCTTGGCTTCTCCCAGGTGATCTCACGAGTGACTCAGCTCCTCCTCTGGACTGATGAGCAGCGTCTCAAGGTACAGGATGGACGTGAGGGTCATTGTCCTTTATATCTGCTGTTATCAGGTTAACAGTTTAACTCTGTCAGATAGAAGGACATAGTACACTAAATTCCATAAGTATATTTAATTCACAATATCCTGAAAAGGAGAATAAACTTTCTTTCTTAGAGAGACCGAAAAGACTTGTTTAGGAAGAAAGAACGAAAAAATGTTATACCTTAATGAATGCCAAATTTAGGGCAGCCAGTTGTTAAAGTCTGTTGAACTCTGTCTTCCTTACACACTGTAGTCACAATAGATTAATTTAAGAAATTTCTGAAGGGAAAGAGTCCTTTGGGGAATGGAACTAAGTAAATAAGAAACTATATATGTGTGTGCGCAAGTGTATGTATGATAAGAAGCAAACAAACATGAAAATAACACAAGCCTGACCATATCAGCTTGCAGCCCTGCACACAGGCCACGGGTGATGGAGAGGACGCAGGTGGAGAATGACCTGCCTGAGGTCCGGAGGGAGAAGACCCCTGCATCTGCAGTCCTGACCACGGTCCCTGACAGAGGACAGACAGTGACAGCGACTGCGCCTCAGCTTCCCATCCTCACATTTGAAGCTGACACTGGACAATGTGAAGAGACAGGACCCCACTGCGCAGGTGATGCTTTGTTTACATTGGGGTGCTAGTTGTCACCTCCTGTGTGGCCATCTCTTCTGGAAGCACATTCACCACAGCCCCTTTTCTCTTTATGTTTCCTTAGAATTGTCAATAAAAGGTCTTCATAGATATCTGAAGGAGGAGAGGATTCACTCCTGTCCATCACACCTGCAGTTCTGGAGAGTTACCTGGAGAGCTGCAGCAGAGGGTAGAGCTTCTGTGCCCTGCCCTGGGCTTTCTAAAGAGTTCTGAGGACCACAATAGCAGGCAATTTACCCACTCAGTGATGATGTGCTCTCGTGTCCTGGAGGGCAACAGAGAACCCCATATCTGGTGTTTGCTTCCCTGAACACAATCCACCAGACCATGAAATGATTGCAATTTAACCTCTACCTCCCTCTATAAAAACAATTCTAGACAAGAAAGAATAGGGAGAAAAATTGCAAAAGACATATCAGGGATGGCACTATTATTTGAAATACACAGATAATTCTTAGAACAAATACCTCAATAAAAATTGGGGCAATGTCCTTAGCAGACCCCTCACCCAAGGAGATACACAGTTGACTCATAAGCAAGTGAAGAGATGGGCCACATGTCACATCATCTGGAAATGCAAAGGAAGTCAGCAGTAGCCCCCACTGCACCCCCACTGGCATACCTGACTCTAGAACAGTGACACTTCATCACAACATCATCTGTCACTGATGTGACCTAGGGACTGCCTCACACATCACAGTGGGAACAAAATTAGTGCCATCACTTTGGACCACAGGGTGTTGGTTTCCTACAAGATGAACACACTCTTGCATGTCACCCAGCAACAAGACCCCTTCGTATTTCCCCCAAAGGGTTAAACATCCACATTACCCTGACCTCAGTGCTTACAGTACTTTACTCATAAATTAAGAATTTGGGAATGCCCAGGTGTCCTCCAGGGGGTGGTAAATGTACAAATAGACTGTGGCTCATCCAGACAATGGATCATTCATCAGCACTAATTCAACCCATCATGATATTTGAGGGAGTCCCTGATGTCACATCATCATGACAGGTGACGGTGTGAGGAGGGGTGACTGTCTATAGTCAGGCATCCTAGGGGGTGACTGTGTCTGTTGCTGATTTAATTTGTGATTCTTGAATGGACAAAAAAAGGACTGGAAGAAACTTAATTTTAAGGACAGAAATGAGGCTGAAAAAATGTGCATACTATGTGACTATCTGAAGGACATTCAGGGGAAGGGGACCTAGTGGGGACAGTAATAATGTCAAGGACTATGGGGGATTAAGAGGTGGAGCACAAAGGAATTTGAAACAATGAAGCTGCTCTGTGGACACTGTCATGGGGGACACACGCCCTGGAAACTGCGAACCGTTAGCCTGTGCCTGAGTAGGGGCGGGTCCTCTCTAATCTGTGGGTTCAGGGTCTTCAGCTGGAACATCTGTACAACTGCTGGGAAGATGAGGTCTGCGTGGGAGGAGGGTGTTATGGGAAAGTCCTTATGCTCAATTTCTAGGAGCCTTAATCATCTGTGTGTGTGTGTTTATTTTATTTAAAAAACTTCTTACTCAAACTACAGTGGCTCCCTACCACTGTACGACCGCATCAGGTGATAGGCAGACAGCTCAGGTGTCATCAGCTCTGTCTTTATTGAATCCACAGAGTCATTATCCTGTCTGTGCTGCTGGGCGAGGAAAGAGAGTTAGGGACAAAGAGCCACCAGCTCCTTCTACCAGCCCATTCAGTCCTTCGAATGAGACTCCATCTGAGATGTGCTCTCAGCAGATAGAAGCAACATGGGAAGAAGCTGGGGCTGCCCAGCCTCACACAGCTGCTCCCTGGGTGGTTTTTGTTCAGGCTTGTATCACTGTGTGAGGGTTACTGTTATACTGCATACAGTAGTATGTGGCAGCATCTTCAGGCTCCAGGCTGCTGATGGTGAGAGTGAAATCTGTCCCAGATCCACTGCCACTGAAGCGGGATGGGACCCCAGTTTGCAAATTGGATGCACCATAGATGAGGAGCTTAGGAGCTTTCCCTGGTTTCTGCTGATACCAGTTTAGATAATTTCTAACACCCTGACTGGCCCGGCAGGAGATGGTGACTCTGTCTCCTGGAGATGCAGACACGGAGGGTGGAGACTGGCTTATCTGGATGGCACACCAGGCTCCTGGGATGGAAACAGAAAATACAGCCACGCTGTCATCCTGTCATGAGAGGGCTTCCCTGAGGGCCAGGGGTCCTGCCCACCCAAGGTTGATCCACACTGGTGTTTCCTTCCTCACCTGGGAGCCAGAGCAGCAGGAGGCTGAGGAGCTGAGCGGGGGCCCTCATGTCCATGCTGGGTCCTGCCTGGACTGACCCTCAGGGGCTGGGACTGACTATGAATAGTGTGCAGGGAGGGGCTGTGCTCTGGGAACATGCAAATGAGCAGGGGCAGGGCCATGGGCACAGCTGCAGGGGCTGATCATTTTCCTGCAGAGAAAGCTTTTTTGCCTGAGGAACACAGGACAGAATCAGTTACTGTCCTGTGAGTGGAGTGTCTTTTGGTTTCAATATTTAGGAAAAGCATCACTTCCTATTCTCCATGTCATACAGATCCCTTCAAATGTAACACTCCGTGAATTGTGTTTTAATTTTCATGCGGGTATGTTCTTAAGGCTAGTGAGGTTTCCTTTTCACTCTGGTTCCCTGATATTGCTGGAGTGAAAATTATCATCACTGCCAACCAGATGCAGTAGTTGGGAGGACAATGCAGAGTGTGGCTGTCAGGAGTTGTGAGAGCCCAGATACTGACCATCCTCCTGCTGACCTCATCTCCAGCTAAGCCTTGTGTCTCTGCACTGTCTGAGGCCCTGTCCCACCATGTCTGCCTCAGCACCAAGCTCAGGGTGTTCTCCCCAATATCTGACAGTCTCCTCCCTCCCCAGCGCTGTGTCAATACACAGACCCAAGCGCACAACCCGGTCTCCCAGGACTGTCGCTCACGTCCTTCATCCTCCTTCCCCAGGTGCTCCCTTCTGAGCTGAGGTCCTCCCAGACCAACTCTTTGGTAATCCCTGGAGTCTACTGCGTTCCTCCATCTGCATGTTCATCAGTCACCAAATATCCTCCAGGTGTTGAGACAGCAGCTCTTGGTGCTGGAGCAGGGAGTTGGGACCCAGGTAGAGTAAGGAGACTGTGTAGAGGAAGGTGAAGGGAGACACTGCACTGAGTTTGGAGCTCATACAGTGTAGATTGAACTTCCTTAAGGGAATAAGGGAGTGTATAGCATGAAGTGTGGAGGAGAGTGGGTGAGGAGGGTGTCCCCACATGGAGAGCTGGATCTGTTTGCTGGTGCAGAGCTATGAACGGGATGAGATGAGGAGCATCGTGTGTCTTTGATGCTCGCCCACTACCCCAACATAGTCACAGATTCTTCCTTCATTAAAGAGCATGTCCCTGGATTGGAACTTGGGTGAGTTTAAGCACCAATCCTGAATTAGTCCTGGACCACTGGGACTGAGCCTGTTGATGCTGTGAGTTGCAGAGAGGGCAGCAGGGAGGGATGTGGATGGAGATGGAGGCAGAGCCAGCCCTGCACTGTGTGTGACAGGTCAAGGAGCCCCAGACTCCGAGGTGGCTGCAAAGACAGGAACCGTGTCCCCAGCACTCGGGGACGCCTGTCTGTGTCCCGTGTCCTGTGTCATCTGTGTGGCCAGCTCTTGTGACACAGAGAATGTTCTTTCATCTTTACTGTCTTTGTTTCCAAGTGTATCTAAACATGTCCATTCAAGCATCACCCTCCTTTGCGGAGCTGAGGATCTTCCATGTGTGAACAAACTGTGACATGCAGGATAGTGCAGCTCGTTGACAGCTGGACCATTGCTGCTTTATGACCCTGTGATGAATTTATTAAAACCTGTGTGTATGTTAGGGAGGGCAGGGAAGTGTGTTTGTGAATGTTTTCCAGATCCTTTTTCTGTGTTTACTCTTGAGTAAGATCGTGCTCCATCTTACACTTGTGAATAATATTTTTATTATATTTAATTAAGTTTAGGTTAAGATTTTTAATGGCTCCAACTAAAAAATTGTTTTTAAAAATGTATGAAATAGACTCTCATTTCTTATTTTTCTGACTTACACAAGACATGGCCTACATCAGTTATGAAACTCTAGGCATGGATTTTGAACAGATCATGTCACAGTAAAAATAAATAAATAAATAACTTTCATACATAAAGTGTTGTTGCCCATTCCATGATTAAAATATTTTGCTCAAGATTGTAAGAACAGGCACCCACCGGGTGGCACAGCAGGGATTGAGCATCCTGCTGTGAAGCAGTCCATAGCCTCTGCAACGGGATTCAATTCCTGGCGGGGCAGGGAGATTCCCACATTCCACATGGACCCACAGATCTCTCCTGTCTAGCCCGCTTCTCCCCTCAGCAGTGTACTTCTGTTCTTCTGCCTGTTCTGTTCCCTGCCCTGTCTCTGGAGAATTCTCTCACCCTTTCTCATCTTTGGCCTATACCCTAGTTCTTGTATAAATAAATAAATCTTTAAAAAAAAACAGGATTATCAGATGATTTGCCAAATATTTCGACATTATTAGTGGAACCCAAAACAGGCATTGCATTAAATAGCAAGTGTGAACAGAAAGAGTAAATAAGATCTGTGTACTTAAACAGTGAAAATCCCAGGTGGTAGGTTTAAGAAAACACTCGCTCCATCGCCCTGTGTGTCACTAGCGCCACCTTCCTCCCGCGTGTCCCTGTGGCCCCATCATGTCAGCCTGTGTTGAAGGCGGCGCCAGCAGGGAGCCAGCAGTCCTGGTGCTGTGAGTCCTGCTGGTCCCGGTGTTCAGTCTCCCGTTGCGGCAGGACTGTGAGTCCCGCCATGTGGTCGGGCTTAAGCAGTGGCCTCCTTACAGGCCCTGCAGGTCAGGGTGTTAGGAGAAAGGTGGGGAAGAACACGGAGGGACTGGTCAGCTGACCCTGGGGGCATTGCAAGGCCTTGGATTCTTACTCAGGGTGAAGTGGAATGTGGGATGAGTTGAGCAGAGAAGCATGAGGCACATTTACAAAGATCCTGTGGTGCTGAATGGAGACTAGACTCGGGCTGGTCAGGGGAGAGGCTGGTGACAATGGAGGAGGGTGTGGCATGGTCCAGATGAGGGATGAGGGAGGTTTTCCTGACCCCCACAGATCAGCAGTCTCTCAGAGCCACACTCTCTACCCCATTGCCTGATTTATATTAGGACTGATTTATATCAGGATTTATATTAGGACATTTCCTGACATTATCTATACATTTTCTTTTACATGGCTATGTTTCCTGCGGGCCCCCTCCTCCTGCCACAGGGTCTCAGCCACACACCACTGGTGGGATTTCAAGCTGGTGTAGGTACTTTGGATTAGTTTGCTGGTTTCTTACAACATTAAACATACACTTAACCATCTAGTCCAGCAGTGATTGGACTCTCTGGTATTTTCCCAAAAGGGTTTAGCCAGATGTTCCCAAACAACCTACACAAGTGTTTATAGCACTTTATTCCTAAACACCAAAATTGGAACCTGCAAGGTGTCCTTCAGTAGATGTGAAATGAATAAATCAACGGAGACACATCCAGACACTGGAATATTAATCGACACTGAATAAGAATGAGCTAATATGTCCTGAAATGACATGGACACAAATGAAATGCTCATTTAAGTGCAGAAGCCAATCTGAAACAGGCTGTGATTCCATCTAAGGGGATTCTGGAAAAGGGAACTTTAAGGAGGCAGTGAAAACAGCAGTGAAGTTTGGGTTTTAGGAGTGGGTGGGACAACAGATGCAACACAGAGAAATGTTAGGGCAGTGATCCTCCTCTTTGTGATGGTATAAATGATAGTACATATCCTTGTCATTGTCCTTATTCTAAACTGTCCTTAGAATATACAATGCCAAGAGTAAGCCCCCTTATTAATTATGGATTGTGGATTTGAGAAGAGGCAATGTAGGTTCATTAACATAATAGTTCTAGTCTGATATGGGATGTTCAGTGTTGGAAAGAAGGGAAGCCCTTTGACCAAAAATCTCCAATCACCTTCCACTAAGTTGCATGTGAGAGCAGCTCTCAGCAGATGGGGCACCAGGAGGAACAGTTGCTCCCTGGGTGGTTTTGGCTCAGGCTTGTGTCACTGTGGGAGACCAATTATAACTTTGCTGACAGTAGTAAGTGGCAGCATCTTCAGGCTCCAGGCTGCTGATGGTGAGAGTGAAATCTGTCCCTGAACCACTACCACTGAAGTGGGATGGGACCCCAGTGTAAATCATTGCTAACACCTGACTGGCCCGGCAGGAGATGGTGACTTTGTCTCCTCGAAATGCAGATACTGAGGGTGGAGATTGGTTCAATTGGATGTCAGACCTGGCCCCTGAAATGGAAAGACAAAACACACCTACACTGTCATCCTGTCATCAGAGGACTTCCCGGGGCTGAACAACTCCTGGTGTTTCCTTCTTCACCTGGGAGCCAGAGCAGCAGGAGGCTGAGGAGCTGAGCAGGGGCCCTCATGTCCATGCTGGGTCCTGCCTGCACTGACCCTCAGGGGCTGGGGCAGACTATGAATAGTGTGGAGGGAGGGGCTGTGCTCTGGGAACATGCAAATGAGCAGGGGCAGGGCAGTGGGCACAGCTGCAGGGGCTGATCTCAGCAGCACAGAGGCAGGGACAAATAACTCTCCAGGTCCCCCAAGAGTAGGGTGAACTTGCCTGCAAAGAAGGTATTTCTCAATGGGGATGACAAGACAGAATCGTCTACACTCCTATGAGTATAATGGTCTTCTTGTCTATCTATGACATGCTTTACTCTTAGTCTCCATGTAGTACAGGGCCTATAAAGAATGGCACTCAAAGAAATTTTACAAACTTTACAGTAGATGTTAAATGTATAAATCAACGTAGAACTTCTTTATTTGAACTTTGGAGCATGAGAGGCTATTTCTAAGTTGTGACTCCCTGATATTACTGGTTGAGAAATTGTCTTCACTTCCAGAGAGAAATGCATTGAGATAGAAAGGAAATAAGACTGTGGGTGTCCTGAGTGGAAAATAAGAACCCAGACACTGACCATCCTCCCTGCTGATCTCATCTCCAGCTAGGCCTTGTGTCCCCCCACATGTGAGGCCCTGTTCCACCACATCCACCTCGTCCCAAAGTCAGGGATGTTCTCCTCCCACCTCTGACAGTCTCCTCACTGCCCAGCACTGTGTCATCAACAGACCCGAGCACAAGCCCGGGTCTCCCTGGACTGTAGCTCACGTCCTTCATCCTTCTCCCCCAGGTGCTCCCTTATGAGCTGAGGTCCTCCCAGA